CGGTGTCCGTCGTGGCCCCTCCTGCAGCTGGAAGGACTTGACTTGGTGTTAAAAACATAATCAGAAGGCAGAGGCCACAGTCTACACGTTCCCCAAGCAGCCACCGATAGGCACCCGCTAAAACTCAAGCCGTCTTCATGTCCTCACACCCTGGCTCCAGACACCAGCAAAATGCACAAGGGGGCCTCTGGACGTCCCTGTGAGCATGACCCAGAGAAAAGGAGCCAACTGGCGGTCCCCCAGTTAGCCTGCAAGCTCTGCAGCCCTGACGAGAATGCTGAGGGGTGACTGTCCGTGACGGGACAGACGCTGCACTTGCTCCTCTCTGGTTTCTGGGCCACACGGTGGCTGCGGCCAGGCGGCATCGCCCACTCGGCTGGAAATCTCCCGCCGCGGTCGGCCCTTTCTGCCTGTGGGATGGTGCAAGTTGAAAGGTTTCCTAACTCGGTCCCACTTCATCGGACACAGGCGAGACGATGGGGTCCACGCAGACACTGTCTTGCTTGTGAGAGCTTTGCCTGGGAACTCTGCAGTGCTGTGCGGGGTGGGACGCACACCCTCCCCGGGCCGGTGGAGTCCTGGGGACGCGTGGCGGTGTGAGCAGTGAGAATGAAAGGCCCCTTCCTCTAGGCTGGCCCCAGGCCACAGCTACCACAGGGCAGTCCAGCCTCACTCTGGCCTCGGCTGGTGTGGCTGTGCGGGTTCTGACCTGCCTCAGGGTGCCCCAGGGCGCCATTCCCAGGGCATCAGGAACCCTGTTATCCTTCCCCATGGCCAGGTGCCACCCCCCTAGACTTGGAGTGAGTGCCTTTCCAAGGGAAGGTGGACAGGCAGTGCCGGGTCCCACTGATCTGTCCTCCCAAGGGAAGGCAGGGGCCCTGCTGGACAGCATCAGCGAGGGGGACGGTCAGCTTCAGGCCTGGCAGGGCAAGCGACCAGGCGTGTTCCCCTACCCAACTCAACTCAGTCATCATAGGCCCCTCATGGCTCTATGAATCTGAACTACAGACAACACGTTTTAGGACGGAAAAGGGGGATGTGAGCCGCTGTCACAGGGCCCCTGCCTGGACGAGGACAGACGCAGGCAAGCGCTGCTAGTCTTTCAGCCTGGGTGTGGCTCCCAGCACCCGGCCTCTCGTGGTCTCCTGGGTATTCCCAGCTCCTTAGCTGGACCAGTGAGGTCAGCCCAGACCCGGCCTCGGACATATTTTCATCTCCTTCTGTGCCACCTTGTGCCTTTGGGGACTCACGGAATTGCCCCGAGAGGACTGAGCCCCTCACTGGGAGGGGCCCGTGTGCGCTCTTGTTCCTGCTCCATGCACCCAGCATAGGGCCTGGAAGAGGAGGCGAAATGCCAGTGGGGTAATTTGGAAGTGCAGCCCTCCGCCCTTCCTTCCTGTGTGGGACTTTGCTCCAAGAAGATGAGTAATCCAAGGTCCAACCTTCACGTCCAGTTCAGCATGCTAGGAACTTAAAGTTGTTAATTCATCCTAACATGAAGTAAAAAAGGAAAAAAATTCCCCAAATCAGTAAGTCTTCTTAGATTCCTAAGAGAAGTGAGACCACACAGCAAACTGCCACCCCCAAGACTGGAGAGTCAGACAGGTGAATATGGAGAATTGCCACTCACCAAGGGCAGGCTTCCTGGGGGCCAGTGCCAGGAAAAAAATCCCGAGCAATCCCAGAAGAGCTTCTGGGGCTCAGTGTGCACAAACGTAAAAGCTAAGATCTGTCGGGAACCCGGGCACGATGCCCCACTTAGGTGAGTTTTCCCGCCAGGACCTCTACTAGGTCCTCACCGCAAGTATCAGAAAAGTCTATGTCAGGCAGCAAGAGAAGAAGAACGGCCATGATGAAATACGCCAGAGCATTCTGTTCTAAAAAGGCCAGCCTTTCGGACAGACTGTCTTGCCAGAGCCTAAGCTGTTGGGTTTTATCAGAGCTGAACTCTCTGGGAGAGTAGAGACATCCAACCCCAGCCCATGTCGCCTGCCACATGTCAGAAGAGCCAGACACGGCCCCAGCTCTTACTGGGCATCCTGTCTCATTTAAGTCAAGGAAACACTGAGAAGCCCTTGTAATGTTCACGGGCTGGGGACACAGGCTCACTGAAAGTCTCAGACCTACTTACAGGACCACAGCACACTCCCCTCCCCGCACCTTACCCCTGAGTCATCAAAGGCCTTTTTGCAGCAGTTTCTTTTATGCAGTATATTATGTCCGGGGTTTAACAAAAAAACGATACGGCATACTAAAAGGCAAAAGCCGTGGTTTGAAGCGATGGAGTAAATATTAGAACCAGGCTCAGATATGGCAAGGACCTGGAATGATCAGCCGGGAATTTTAAACAACTCTGATGCTAAGGACCCTCGTGGAAAAGTAGACAACACACAAGACCAGATGGGGAAGGTGGACATCGAGATGAACATTCCAAGGATGAGTAAAAAAATAAATTCTGGAGATCAAAAACACTGTGACAGAAACAAAGTGTGCCTGAGATAGGCTTACGAGTAGACCGAACACTGCTGAGGAAAGAATCTCCGAGCTTGAGAATGTGTCAATGGAAACTGGAAGCTGAAAAGCAAAGAGAAGAAAGACTGAAGAAAATAGAACAGAGCACCGAGGACTGTGAAACAATACTGATGTGTAACATTCACCAAATGGGGACATTGGAAGGAGGAAAAATGAAAGGAACAGAAGAAATACGTGAATCAATAATGATTAATGTCAAACACCAAACCACAGATTCAAGCAGCTCAGAGAACACCAAGTGGAAAACAACAAAACACACATCTCCACCTGAGCATATCATATTCAAACTTCGGAAAAATCAAAGATGGAAACGAAACCAGGGGTTGGGTGGGGCACAGTTTGTCTATACAGGAGCAAAGCTAAGAATTATATCTGACTTACCCTCAGAAACCACGCAAGCACGAAGATAGTGGAGGGAAACATGTCAAGTGTTAGAAGAAAAAAGAAAATACATTAACCTAGAATTCTGCATCCTGTGAAATTATCCTTCAAAAGTGAACATAAATATTTTCCTAGGTAAATAAATACTGAGGGAATTTGTTGCCAATAGAACTGACTTGTCAGAAATGTTTTTTAAAAGTTCTGCAGAGAGAAAGAAAATGATACAGGTCAGCAACCCTGATCTACATAAAGAAAGGAAGAGCATTTCAGAAGGAATCAGTAAAGAGAAAACGAAGCCTTTTATTTTTTCTTAATCTTAATTGATCTAAGAGTTTGCTAAAACAAAACAATGACAACAAAAATAGGCCGGGCACAGTGGCTGACGCCTATAATCCCAGCAATTTGGGAGGCCGAGGTGGGCAGATCACCTGAGGTCAGGAGTTCGACACCAGCCTGGCCAACACGGTGAAACCCTGTGTCTACTAAAAATACAACATTAGCCAGGCATAGTGGCGCATGCCTGTAATCCCAGCTACTTGGGAGGCTGAGGCAGGATAATTGCTTGAACCCGGGAGACAGAAGTTGCAATGAGCCGAGATCACGCCATTGTACTCTAGCCTGGGCGACAGAGTAAGACTCTGTCTCAAAAATAAATAAATAAATAAATACATAAACAAATATACATAAATAAAAGTCAGAATGTATATTTGATGATCATAGTTATGTATATGTGAAATGAAGGACAGCAATGATACAAGGGATGGGTGAGTAGAATTAAAAATATCTTCTTATTTATTTATTTTGAGATGGAGTCTTGCTTTGCTGCCCAGGCTAGAGTGCAGTGGGATGATCTTGGCTCATTGCAACCTCCGCCTCCATGATTCAAGCATTCATCTTGCCTCGCCTGCCGAGTAGCTGAGATTACAGGCATGTGCCACCACACCTGGCTAATTTTGTATTTTTAGTAGAGACAGGGTTTCGTCATGTTGGCCAGGCAGGTCTCGAACTCCTGACCTCAGGTGATCCACCCGCATCAGCCTCCCAAAGTGCTGGGATGACAGACATGAGCAACTATGCCCTGCTTAAGAATATCTGATGATTGTAAAGTGCTTGCGTTACCTCTGAAGCTGTATAGTGTTATATGAAAGTGGACTTGGAGGATGAGTTTTAAGTGTATATTGCAAACTCTAAGGCAACCACTAAAGAAGTGAGACCCAGCCTCTAGGAAAAGAAAAAAAAAAAGGAAATGAGCTATTAAGCCATGAAAAGAAATGGAGGAACCTGAAATGCATATCACTAACTGAGATAAGTCACTTTGAAAAGGCTACAAACTGTGTCATTCCAACTATACAACATTTTGGAAAAGGCAAAAGCATGGTGGTGACGAAAAGATGGGAGATGCCAGAGGCTGGGGCAGGATGGGTGAGCAGGCAGAGCACAGATTTTCTTTCCCTTTTTTTAACGCAGTGAAAACACTCGTAGAATCCTGCAAGGAGGGATACAAATCACAAACATTTGTCAAAACCCACAGAATGTTCACCACCAGGAGGAGACCCCATGTCAATCCAGGACCCTGGTTGACAACAGCGTATCCAGATTCCTCACATGGAACCAGCGTGCTCCCGTGGTGCAGGATGTGCCTGTGTCAAGGCAGGGGCTACATGGAAATTTTCTGCAGTTTTGGATCAAGTTTGCAATGAACTAAATCTGTGGTATAAAAATAAAGTCTATTAAAAGAATCCAAGGCCCCCTCTCATCTCACGATAAGATAAAGTCCCCATCCATTTTGCTCCTTTCAGTCCTGGAGAAAGGAGAGGCCATGTCCCACCACCTGCCACCAGCATAGACCCCTGTCCAGACCCCACGCATCTTCTCAGCATCCTCAGACCAGCAGGACTTGCAGCAATAGTGGATTAGGCACCTGACTTCTCCTTCATCTACCTTTGGCTGGGGGCCTCCAGCCTTGACCTTCGCTCTGAGAGTTTCAGGCAGGTCCAGAGCCAGTTCTCCCATGACGTGATCTGTTTCCAGGGCAGGTTCCCGGGTGAGATAAAAGGATTTGGGCTGAACAGGGTGGAGGGAGCATTGGAATGGCACTCAGGGCAAAGGCAGAGGTGTGCATGGCAGCACCCTGGCTGTCCCTGCAAAGGGCACAGGCACTAAGCACCAGAGCCGCCCGGGCCCCTAGTACGGTGCTGCCCTTTGAAGCCATACCCCAGCGTCCAGGCAACAGGTGGCTGAGGCTGCTGCAGATCTGGAGGGAGCAGGGTTATGAGCACCTGCACCTGGAGGTGCACCAGACCTTCCAGGAGCTGGGGCCCATTTTCAGGTAAAGCCCTCCCTGGCCCTCGCTGGGAACACCCAGAGCCCTGCCCCTGCTGCCCAGGACCCTGCCGGGCACACAGCACTGCTGTTCCCAGCAGGCCCCAGCACTCTGCATCCTTTGGAGGATGGGGAGGGAGTGCAGCACGTGCTGGTCTGTGGTTCTGCCAGTGCCGGGGATGGTGCAGAGCAAACCCCAGCTCGCTGCAGAGAGGGCAGGACTCAGAGGCACTAAAGTTGAGAGGTTCCGAGGAGCCAGCAGGAGGGCTTCAGCTGTGAAGCCGCTAATCCAGGAGCCAGGAGGGTGGATGGGAGACACTTTGGATTGGGAATGCAGAGTGGGGCCAGGGGGGACATGACCCCGTCCAGCAGGGCCTTGTGCTTGGCCCCACAGGTACCACTTGGGAGGACCACGCATGGTGTGTGTGATGCTTCCGGAAGACGTAGAGAAGCTACAGCAGGTGGATAGCCTACATCCCCACAGGATGAGCCTGGAGCCCTGGGTGGCCTACAGACAACATCGTGGGCACAAATGTGGCGTGTTCTTGCTGTGAGGGGCAAGCTGGGAGCTGGGAGCAGGGTGGGCAGCCGGGGTGTGGTGGGGAGGTGAAAGAGGCAGGACCCGAAAGCACATCCATTCTGAGCCTGTGTGGTGGGCTGTGAGGGTGAGCACCCAGCCCACAGGATGGCCATCCCGTGGGGTCACGTCTGCCCTGCAACTAGGGGAAGCAGGACAGTGGTGGAGAAATGGGCACGGGCACCTCTGCAGAGGAGAGAACGCAGAGCAATGAGCCCTTCTGTGTAGCGAGAACCCGCTCTGCACCGACCTCGGCGGCTTCTTTCTCTTGCGGGCTGAGGACTCTCCTTCCCACGGGTCAGAAAACTGAGGCCCTGAGAAGGGGACGCCCACCAGCCCAGGTCACAGGCTGTGAGCGCTGAGCCTGGTGTTGACCAGGGCCGCAGCCTCCCTCATGGCGCTCATGGTCTCTATAGTCCCGGTAAACCTTCGTGATGGGGACAGTCCTGGGCAGGAGGCAGGTAGGGAGGCAGGTGGCTGGTGGCTCCATTGTTCTCAGAAGCAAGGCACGAGGTGGGGCGGTTGATGACACTGGGGAGGATGTTTCCTGGCCCGTGGAGAGGGTGGCGCCTGGTCAGGTGGACAGGGAGAGGCTGGTGCTTGAAATCGGTCACCTGCAGGGACGTTGCCATTAGGACAGGGGAAGGACTGGACGAGGATGTCACAGTGGCGACAGCCCCCACTCCATGGCAGGAAAGGAATTCTCTTGGGAATAGCGGGATTTAGGTAAAAGGGCACCTGTGGTTCAGGGCCTTCACTGAGGCTGGCCGACAGACGACATCTGGGAGGGAATCTGGACCCAGGAAGGCAGGTCCAGGAGGCTGGGTGTGCATAACAGAAGAAAGGAGAGTGCTCCGGTGTGTGTGCGTGTCTCGCATCTGTGCACATGCTGTGTGTTCCTCTGCACCTGCATTTGCACATGTGTGTGCATGTGTGTGTACCCAAGTGTCTGTGTGTGCATGTATGATGTGTGGTGTGTGTGCACGGCTGTCTCTGTGTGTGCATGTGCGTGTACACGTGTCTGGGTGTGTGCATGTATGAGGTGTGGTGTGTGTGCACGGGTGTCTCTGTGTGTGCATGTGCAGGTGCCGGCATGGGTGTAGTGTCTGTGCACACGTGTACATGTGTCTCTTCACACATGTGTGTTGAGGTCTTGCACGGGCACACGTGTACATGTGCATCTTCTGTCTGTCATCACTGTCAACTCGGGACAGCAGCCAGCTGGACATAAATAAAGGAGTTTTGCAGGAATGTGGCTGAGAGAGGAAATTCCTCCCCACCATTCCATGGGGGCATCCATGGAGCCCCAACACACTCTGGGTGTGGGTGAGGATGGCATGAGGCACAGAGCTCGGTTCCTGCCCTGCAGAAGATGCAGATGCTTCACAGAGACAGGCAGAGACTGCTGCCCCAGAGGCACTGTGCCTAGGGCAGGGAAGGGCGGGGAGGAGAGGGCAGCGAGGGGCTCTCCCCTCGAACACTGTGTGGGCGAGATGGGCAAAGCTTGATACCAGAGATCACCTCCTCCTTAGGAGAAAAGCCCTCCCCCCCACTACAGGGAGGGCCTGCATGGGTGAGGTGGTGCCAGCCTTGGGGTGCCAGGTCCCAGGAATGACCTGTTACCTCCTCAGCACCTGCGGGCAGAAACTACCGTCTCATCCCTGATTGGACCTGAGTGGCCTTTGCCCAGCACCTGGAGGCCACTTTGAGAAAAGGCTGAAGCTCGAACACAAACAGGCAGCTTCCGCCAGGGCCCCCAGTCAGCTCCCTGCAGTCCGATTCCCCTCGGGGACAAGGAGGATGGGATACGGGTCGGGGCCTGTGTCTTGCTGGGGCGGCCTCACAAGCTCTGCCCTGGCCTCTGTAGGAACGGGCCTGAATGGCGCTTCAATCGATTGCGGCTGAACCCAGATGTGCTGTCGCCCAAGGCTGTGCAGAGGTTCCTCCCGATGGTGGATGCGGTGGCCAGGGACTTCTCCCAGGCCCTGAGGAAGAAGGTGCTGCAGAACGCCCGGGACAGCGTGACCCTGGACGTCCAGCCCAGCATCTTCCACTACACCATAGAAGGTGTGGGCCAGGTGGGAAGGTCCAGCCTCAGAGACCCTGGAGTGGCCAGGGACGGGGACGGGGGGCTGGAGGGAGTCGGGGGAGGCAGCCCGGAGGCCCGGGGCTTCCTTGTGCTCAGCAGTTCATCCTCCCCGCAGCCAGCAACTTAGCTCTTTTTGGAGAGCGGCTGGGCCTGGTTGGTCACAGCCCCAGCTCTGCCAGCCTGAGCTTCCTCCATGCCCTGGAGGTCATGTTCAAATCCACCGTCCAGCTCATGTTCATGCCCAGGAGCCTGTCTCGCTGGACCAGTCCCAAGGTGTGGAAGGAGCATTTTGAGGCCTGGGACTGCATCTTCCAGTACGGTGAGGCCAGGGACCCAGGCAGTGCTATGGAGAAGGGACACCATGGGGGCCCAGTCTGTTCCACTCCACCACCCAGCGGGGAATGGAGGCCACAGGGAGGGGCTGGGGATTCCTCACCTTCCTGCCAGGGAGATTGGGAGTGAGGCTGGGGCTGGGCTGGGCTGGGCTGATCCGGAGAACTTGGGATGAGAGCAGGGAGACTTGGGTATTGGGGCAGCCTGGGCAGGAGGAGGACACTGAAGGACGCTTCCCAGCACCAAGGACTGAGGGCTGTGTCCCGCTCCCCGGACAGGCGACAACTGTATCCAGAAAATCTATCAGGAACTGGCCTTCAGCCGCCCTCAGCACTACACAGGCATCGTGGCGGAACTCCTGTTGAATGCAGAACTGTCACTAGAAGCCATCAAGGCCAACTCTATGGAACTCACTGCAGGGAGCGTGGACACGGTCAGGCCGGCAACCAGCCCCACCCAGAGAGGGTGATGCCAAGCCTGCCTCCCAGGCAGTGCCTGCCAATGCCACACAGCACCCACATGCCCCATCCCCAGGCTACGGGCCCTACATTTCTGTTGCCCTCAGCCTTCCCCCTCCATTTATTAGGGGATGAGATTTGCAGGGGAGGGGAAATGGGAGCTTCCCCTCACAGGAGACAGAGTTTGCAGTTACCTGTGTGGGGAAATGTGCTCCAGGCTGGAAGACAGCTGGACGAGGCCCTGGACACACAGCAGCTCAGTCCCCATTGGAAAGCTCTGGGTGTACCAGGAGAAGGAGGGTTGAGAGGTGGCTGGAGGACTCCACAGGGCACCCTTCCCAGTGTGCCTGGTCACCTGGGGCCAGAAATGGAGATCCATGGGAGAGCAGGGTTGTGGGGAAGACAGCAGCACAGGCTCCAGCCAGTGCAGAGGGAACTGTGGGTGCCCCATGGGGAGAACCCAATGGAAGCAGAGGGAGCTGGGGCTCCAGGACTCCCTGGATGATGCTGAGGTTTGGCCCCCCTGCCCTAATGGTGGCTGTGAGAACCCACCCTGAAGAGGCTGCAGGGGACCTGGGCCTTGGTGGAGATGGGGGTCATCTTTCCCTGAAGAAGTCAGGGAAACTGGCCCAAGTGGTCATCAAGGTTTCAGATCCAGGGCCCCAGGGCTCTGTCATGCTCAGGGCATGCGTGTCTCCACCCCTCACAGGGAGGTTGTCCTGGGAGGGGTGTCCCGGGGGCTGAGTCCTCCTGTGCAAGGTCTGACCCTGCAGCTGTGGCTCCCGCAGACGGCGTTTCCCTTGCTGATGACACTCTTTGAGCTGGCTCGGAACCCCAACGTGCAGCAGGCCCTGCGCCAGGAGAGCCTGGCCGCCGCCGCCAGCATCAGTGAACATCCCCAGAAGGCAACCACCGAGCTGCCCTTGCTGCGGGCGGCCCTCAAGGAGACCCTGAGGTGGGTGCTAGCTGAGCCTTCCCTGTGGCCCTGGCCCCTGCTGGAGAGCAGCCCCCACTGGGTGGTGGCAGACAGAAGCTGGGCTGATAAGCAGCATCACCCAGCAGCCCATTCCCCCTGCACCTGCTCTTCCTCTCCCTCAAGGACAGGGAGCTCTTCTTCCTCTGGAATCTCTCTTCAACGCCCTGGGATTAACGTGGGGCATGTCCTTCTGGGCTTGGGGCTGCTCAGGTTAGGGGAGGTTTGGCCGGACTCAGCAGGTGCAAGGAAGCACTTCCTCACGAGCTGGGCTTCCCGTGGGCCGGAGACTTCTAGCGGGCTCTTGGGTAGGAAGGCTGCAGAGAGCACGGGAAGCCCCGTCCAGCTGAGGACCCTTTCTGTGGATGCCCCCACCTCCAGGCTCTACCCTGTGGGTCTGTTTTTGGAGCGAGTGGTGAGCTCAGACTTGGTGCTTCAGAACTACCACATCCCAGCTGGGGTGAGTGAGCCCCACACCCCTCCAGCTGAGAACCTCCCTCCCCAGTCATTCCCTGATCCCCGCTCTGCACCGTCCGCAGACACTGGTGCAGGTTTTCCTCTACTCGCTGGGTCGCAATCCCGCCTTGTTCCCGAGGCCTGAGCGCTACAATCCCCAGCGCTGGCTAGACATCAGGGGCTCTGGAAAGAACTTCCACAACGTGCCCTTTGGCTTTGGCATGCGCCAGTGCCTGGGACGGCGCCTGGCAGAAACGGAGATGCTGCTGCTGCTGCACCATGTGAGCAGGCCCGGGGCGAGGGCGGGGGCGGGACCTGGGCAGCAGAGGCGGGGCCTGCACCCTGGGGGCGGGGCTTGCATGGTGTGATTGACATCTGGGAACCGGATGGGGCCTTGGCTGGTTGAGGTCAGCGTGACCAGGGAGGGTCTGTGCTGAGCAAGACAGTGTAGGGTCTGGGTGAGGTTACTTCTAAACAGTGAGGTGGGGACTAGGGGAGTGGGGTGGAGCCTGTACAGGATAATGGGGCTTGGGCAAGACCTGGGTAGGATTCAGTCTGGGCCTGGTCTGTAAGATGGGGCTGGTCAGGAATGGGACAGGTTGGGGCCCAGGCTGCTGCTCCCCCTTCAGCATAATTGCTGCACCTGGGAGGATGGGAGGAGGCTGCCCCAGGTCCATGGGCTGCTGACCAGGCCAGATGGAAACCCAGCCTCTGTCCTAGGTGCTGAAACACTTCCTGGTGGAGACACTAACCAAAGAGGATATAAAGATGGTCTACAGCTTCATACTGAGGCCCGGCACGTTCCCCCTCCTCACTTTCAGAGCGATCAACTAATCGTGCCTCTGCACCCAGGGTCCCAGCCTGGCCACCAGCCCCACCTAGTCCCTTCTCCAGCAAGCAGTGCCCTCTGGACAGCTTGACTCTACCCCTCCCAACGCTGGCTCCAGGCTCCTTGTGTGGCCATGCAAGGGCACCGTGATTCTGTCCCTTGCCCTCTTGCCTACTCTCACATGTCCCTGTTCCTCTCCCCTGGCCACGGCCTCTGTGCAGACTGTGTCAGAGTCATTAAGCGGGATCCCAGCACCTCAGAGTGCAGTCAAGCTCCCTCCTGCAGCCTGCCTCCCAGGCAGCTCGAGCATGCCCTGAGCTCTCTGAAAGTTGTCACCTGGAACAGGGTCCTGCAGGGTAGAGTAAAAAGGTCCCTGTGGTCACTTGTCCTGACACATCCCCACTTTCAAGTGATACAACTGAGTCTTGAGGGACGTGTGTTCCCCAGCTGATCGTGTCAACCTCATGCCCCAGGCCTCGTCTTTCATGGACCTGGCCTCGTTCCAGCAGCGAGTGTTGGGTCCTCTGCTTCCCGTGCTGTCCCCTGAGGAAGGTCCTGAGGATGCTGTGAGGAGACGGAAGGGTCATGTGGGGTGGGAATCTTGGGTGTGGTTCCAGAAATGTTTCTGGCAACAGGAGAGACAGGATTGGGCCAACAAGGACTCAGATGCCTTTTATTCACTCATTTTTCTGGTTGATATGGAGCCATGCCATGTGCCACGACCTGGGGTGGGCACAGGGAGGCTGCAGTTCCCAACATGAACCTGCCTTGGGCTTCATGTGCTCCTAATCCAGCAGAGAGAGTTGACCCCTCCTGAACTGGCTACTCCACAGTTCTCCCGTGCAGGGAGAGGAAGCGCCCAGCCAGATCCTCTTTATCCCCTGGGACGTTCATTGGGGCAAAGATCTCAGCAGCCAGTTCATGGTGGCTGATGAGGATCAGAGCATTTGTTTCCCCTTGGAGGGGGAAATACTTAGGTAATCATTCCAGGTGTGTTCAGTAGTTCCGGGACTCAGGGCCTCAGGCCAGTCACCCTGTGATTGCAGGTCGCTTCCCCTCCCTCGGCAATGCAGCGCAGCCTGGGAAAGGAATAAGGGAGGAGCGAGGTGCACACCTCAGAGTTGGCTTTCTTGTTTATGGGGCTCTCACAGATACCCGTCCAACTCCCTAGTCAGCACCAGATCATGGGATCCTAAAATAAACCTTGGAAAAATATTTTAAAGCCTTTTATCTCAAAATTATTATAGATACATTCCAATTTGTCGACATATATATAGAGATGGGTCCCCCACACCCTTCACACAGCCTTCCACTGTCAGCAGCTTGCATTTATATAGAACAGTCTTCAAAACAGGAAATTGACAGTGGCACGATTCACTGAGCTTATTCAGAACTTAGCAGTGAAATGTGTGCCTGCGTGTGCATGTGTGTGTGTGCATGTCTGTGTCTGTAATTCCAGGCAACTCTGTTCCATACGTAACTTTCTGTGGTTTTTAAATGTAGGCTTAATTCTTACTCAGTTGTGGTGAGGCCCACAGGCCAGGAGACTACTGTGGTTGAAAAACAGTCTGCTACTGACAGCATGCAGTGGCAGGGCTTTCTTGCCATCATGACCACATTGCAAGCATCCGGGTCAGTCTGGAGGCAGAGGTTTAGTTCTCCCTGGGGGAGGAACCAGTGAAAGCAGGGTAGGCGGGCTTGGGACTGATTGCTTTGCATGATTACCCAGGGTTCCGAGTCACGGCGATTGCTGCTGGCTGTCTGGTGCCTGACTCTGGGGGCATCTGTGCAGGGGAACTGTGGCCTGGAGTGTGCGAGCCCCATGGAGAAGGTGGCTGGCACAGGGCTTGCCCTGGTGAGACTTCACAGGAAAGGCATTCACTGGGGGGACCTTGACCATCTGTAGTAATTGGCCAGCCCTGATAGGACATCCTTTCCAGGATGCAAGCCCAGAAAGGCATCAGAAGCACAGAAAATAAAAACGATGATTACATGATTGGCCTGGTGATGCTTGGATGCCATATTGAGAAAGCGCTAGGGTCATGAGAGATGAGACATTACAGAGCAGGGTGTCAGATGCCCTAAACAGCAGGAAGACTTTAAATAGACATGTGAGTAGAAGGAGGGAGCACGAAGCACAGGGGATCTTTGTAGGTGGTCCGTAGCTCGGCTACCTACAAATCCTACAGATCCATAGTTCGGCTCTCCGTGAATATGCTATTAGCCAATGAAGTAGATCTGAAATTTCCAGAGTCTCTAACAGTATCTGGGTGGGGTTGCAAAGTGTATTTAAAAGTGTGATTATGTATATATTCGTATGTACAACATGATTTGATTTTATTTCATTAAAATTGCTTTTATTTCCATAGGTTATTGGGGAACAGGTAGTGTTTGGTTACAAGAGTAAGTTCTTTAATGGTGATTTGTGCGATTTTGGTGCAGCCATCACCTGAGCAGTATACATTGCACACTATTTGTAGTCTTTTATCCCTCACCCTTTTCCCACCCTTTCTCCCTGAGTTCCCAAAGTCCATTGTATCATTCTTATGCCTTTGCATTCTCATAGCTTGGCCCCAACTTATGAGTGAGAACATACGATGCTTGGTTTCCCATTCCAGAGTTACTTCACTTAGCATAATTCCAGATCACTGTGAATGCTATGACTTCATTCTTTTTTATGGTTGAGCAGTATTCCTATATATATATATATATGCACAGTTTCTTTATCCACTCATTGATTGATGGGTGTTTGGGTTGGTTCCACATTTTTGCACTTCCAAATTGTACTGCTGTAAACATGCGTGTGCAAGTATCTTTCTTGTATAATGACTTCTTTTCTTTTGAGTGGATACCCAGTAATGGGATTGCTGGATCAAATGGTAGTTCTACTTTTAGTTCTTTAGGAAATCTCCACACTGTTTTCCACAGTGGCTGTACTAGTTTACACTCCCACCGGTAGTTAGAAGTGTTCCCTGTTCATTGCATCCATGTCAACATCTATTTTTTCTATTTTTTGATTATGACCATTCTTGCAGGAGTAAGATGGTATCGCATTGTGGTTTTGATTTGCATTTCCCTGATCATTAGTGATGTTGAGCATTTTTTCTTATGTTTGTTGGCCATTTGTATATCTTCTTTTGAGAATTGTCTATTCATGTCCTTAGCCCACTTTTTGACGGGTTGGTTTGTTTCTTTCTTGCTAATTTGTTTGAGTTGACTATAGATTCCGGATATTAGTCCTTTGTCAGATGTATAGATTGTGAGGGTTTTCTCCACTCTGTGGGTTGCCTGTTTACTCTGCTGACTGTTCCTTTTGCAGTACAACAGCTCTTTAGTTTAATTAAGTCCCAGCTATTTATCTTTGTGTTTATTGTATTTGCTTTTGGGTTCTTGGTCATGAAATCCTTGCCTAAGCCAATGTCTAGAAGGGTTTTTCCAATGTTATCTTCTGGAATTTGTATAGTTTCAGGTCTTAGATTTAAGTCTTTGATCTATCTTGAGTTGATTTTTGTGTACGGTGAAAGACGAGGACCCATTCTCATTTTCCTGCATGTGGCTTGCCAATTATCCCAGCACCATTTGTTGAATAGGGTGCCTTTTTCCCACTTTACGTTTTTGTTTGCTTTGTCGAAGATCAGTTGGCTGTAACTATTTGGGTTTATTTCTGGGTTCTCTATTCTGTTCCATTGGTCTATGTGCCTACTTTTATACCAGTACCATGCTGTTTTGGTGACTATGGCCTTATAGTATAGCTTGAAATAAGGTAATGTGATGCCTCCAGATTTGTTCTTTTTGATTAGTCTTGCTTTGGCTATGGGGGCTCTTCTTTGATTCCATAAGAGTTTTAGGACTGTTTTTCCTAGTTCTGTGAAGAATGATGTTGGCATTTTGATGGGAATTGCATTGAATTTGTACAACACGATTTCAGTGCACTTGACAACTACACATATATTTGAATAATACTACTTGGTGTGTTGCTTGTGTCAAGGTAGAAGTTGATCAATTATGTTTTTGGAGGATAACAATGGGTAAATTAGGAAGGTATATGTAAGGATTAGTGGCATTTGTGTGTAACCAAGGAAAAAGCGTGGTTGTGATGGTTAGAGATGCAGGGCAGAAGGTCATGGTAGGATCCTGGAGAGGATTAGTAGGAGAAGTTCCCGGAGAGTGAGTGGTCCCTTCCCTGGGGGTAAGATGTTGATGTGAGACAAGTACCTTCTGGGGAAAGCAATAATCTCCATTAATTTTCAGAGTGGCACAGAGAGAATCAACCTTTTCCAGGTGTCCCTTGGGCATGGGAGTGTAGGAGTGTGGGTGGTCCTGGAGATCAGGAATTTTATAAGGACCATGGGTGTTACAGGTGAGTTGTATCTCCCAGAAGTTTCTGTGTTGAACTCCTAAGCCCAGGACCTCAGAATATTACTGTATTTGAAGACAGAGTCTTTAAAGAGATAAACAATGTGAAACCAGGTCACTGGGATAGACCCTAATCCAATATGACAGGTGTCCTAGGAGGAAAAGGGATTAGAACCCAGGCACAAACAGAGGGTGTCGCTGTGATGTGGTCTATAAGCCAAGGAGAGAAGCTTGAGCAGAAACCACCACCCCCAACACCTTCGTCTTAGTCTTCTAGCCTCTGGAATTATGAAAAACAACTTTCTGTTGTTTAAGCCACCCAGTTCAGGTACTTTGTTATTGCAGCCAAAGCAAACTAACGTGATAGGCTAAGCAGTCAGGAAGCTGCAGAAACTCATTACAATTGCTAAAACCAAAGAAAGAAAAGCAATCCATGTCCTGTGTCCAGTTCATGCCTTAGTGTAGCTGAACCCAGGCTCGGCTGCTTGCTGCATGAAAACCAAACTCGAGAGACAAGAGTTGGTGGGAGGAAAAGCAGGGGTATTCAACAGCCAGCAACCTGAGGAGATGGCAGACTAGTGTCACCAAGACCATCTTAATACAGTGCAAATTGTAGGCTCTTTTTAGTTAAGGGAAGGGGGAAGAGGAG